AGCAGTTCAGTATCACTAATTGATCCTACTGCTGAGTATCTTCCCCCTCGCAGTACGCTAGGAGTTCAGTTCATCTTGTGGTTGTCATTTGCAACCTTCGAAACTGATGCTTCTGTCGCGTTTTCATATGACCTCTTCCAATTGGACTAGCTACACACTCGTGAACTTATGGCTACCATACCATGGATTAACAGTATTAGTCCACTCACAATGATTTTATACACCGTAATCAGCAAAGCACATATACAGACACACACACACACGTGTCTGTGTGTGGATGCCAGGTGTAAAATTCGAAAGTATGTCTACCGATCACTTCAGGGTTCAGCTACCAGTGTAGTTTGTCGGACAGATCGTTTCGCTCTTACAGGTGGGAGTTTCGCAGTAGTCCTAACTGAGTTTAGAGTTTAAGCTCAGGTTTGAATACACTTGGCGGTTCATCTAACAATGGCCAACGATTACACTCATGTATCTAATCACTTTATATGAGCATACACTTTNAAGTTTTTGGTTTGACATTAAACGTTTCTACACACATGGTCCGACATTTTTTCAAAGTGTTGCAACACAAACTGAAGCACAGAATTGTACGATGAAGTGTTGCTCAAATAGTAACTAAATTTGAAATCCATGAATTCGACTTTTTTAATCTGAAGATTTGGAACCGAGTGTTGTTGAATATTTTATGTTCTTCCCACAACCCGGTTTCACGGGACGGGGCTTATTGCACAAGCACACTGATACAATCGATTGGTAGGGACAATTTGAATACAAACTAATCAATGCAATACACACTCTGGTTTTATTGTGATTTTCTCATTATCTTCCAGATGGAACAAAAAAAAAACGGGCAAGGGAGTACAGTTTTAGGTAAGTTGATGATATTCCATGTGTACACATGAAAGGCGGGTGTTACCGCAGTCATAACCAATTAATATCTGTTTATTCGTCTTCGGCTTCAAGCCGATAAGTGACGTGACGGCTTCGGGGGAAAATAGTTTGCGAACTGTTAACTACAATTAAACAGTCAAAGGATATATGATTTGATATGTTAAGCGTATCACTGTTTTTGTTTAACCTATCGTTTAGTCTAAACTGCCATATCCAGTCGATTGGGTTTTTTCTCCGCTAAAGTTGCTTTTATATAAAGTGGTTTTGCAGTCCAATCACCATATATGGTAGGTGGATTTGCACAGTTGGGCTTTAATAATTCTGATGAGGCGATATCTCCTCAACTGTTATATCCTTCCAGTGGGATTCTTATTTGTCGCTTCATTCCTATTCTCATCTCTTGCTTGAGCATCCATCCTCTGATGGTATGTTCAGTTGCTACGAGGTCTTCATTTTGAATTCTTTCTTACCGGATCACTTGCAGCATATCAATACATTATCTGTGTGATCAGCCCCAGCGACGAACTGGTAACATACAGCACATTTTCAACTCTCGGATACCTCGAAAAATGTTTTTAACGGTCGCTGGAAATCATCTCGGACTTTGTCTGACACGGACGTTCTAGAAATACTTTTTCAGTTTTGACAACAGTGTCTAAGATGCATGTCACTGAATTCGACTTCTGGTAACTATTATTGATTTTCGGAATATTTTGAAAAAAGCTATGCTTCTACTTGGCTTCCGGTTTTTCAAAAGCTAGACATGTAGCACATCATGATACGAAAAGTGGTTAACTGATTTTTTGATGTTGATTGAATGAACTTTTCCGCTTTCTTAATAGTTAGACGCATTCCATATTGTGTCATCTTCGAAGCGGTAAAATCAAACGGTTGAGTTTTTTAAATCCCACATGGGAATCTGGGATATCTGGAATATCACACTCTTTGTTTATAATTCTTTTCTTAGTTTCAAGCAGATTCGAAAGGATTTTAGCTCATGATCAAACGATTGATAGCGGTATTGTTAACAGAAATACATTCCCTTAAGAGAATTCAATAAGTGCCCTGTGCCTATACTTGTTGCCTACGGATTAATCAAAGACCACGGAAGTCAAATGAAAAATGACCTTCCTGGAATCCTCGCTATTTCCGAAACTTGCAGTGCACAGCTCGTAAACCGGACACAGCAGCGAACCCGTTCCGAAATTTCTCTACTTCTCCAAATCTTGAACAAATGCACCGTCTGGAATAGAACTGAAACTGACATACAACAAAACCACTCAAATTAGTTCTGTTTGTCGAATGTGGAATACTTTGCACGTGCTGATCTATTACTTTGTTTACGTCTCTGCCCTCCACGCAAAATGCGTGTTTCATGATCTGTTTATGCCACCACTTGCCCAACAGTTTTCTGCTCCCCTTCCATTCGATCCAATAATGAGAAGTTACTAGTTAAAATCAATAGAAAGCCTGAGTCAGTATCCATATAAAAATGCTAAACTCATAATCGCCGCTAATTACTAGATCACGCAATGCTAGTGAGCGTTCTCTACAGCGAATCCTTCACGACTTACTCTCCTACTTTGGGGCTTTCATGTCCCCTTAACAAGTACTGTTTAACTGCCATTGACTTAGTTCGATCCTACTACTAACAATAACCAGTGTAAGATCTACATAATTGTGCTTCTTGGGCATGTGCCTTTCATAAAATGTCTCTGAGAGTATTACCTAATCTTGCTGAATACTGATGAAAAATAAAATTTATTCTTCCTTTTTGAAGACGAAAAGATATTAATATTTCCGATACACTCTCTGTCAATGAAGTGCATTTCACGGATTTTTTTGGTAGCGTACGCAGCCTCGGGTGGTGACGAATCGGGTGCTTCGAATCATCTGTCTCCATCGTCCGATGCGAACGTGAATGGGTTTCATCCAGACCGGGCGAAATCCACCGGCTCCCTCAGTCCGACCCCATCCATCGATCGATCCTCACAGATTACCATTACCAAACGAGCCGATGTCTATCGAGCCCCGCCCGGGGCCGACGGAGAGACGGCCAAATCAGGCACCATTACCATCGGCCCAGAATCAACCAAAGATCGCGTGGTTGTGAACGACTCGGAGAAACAAACAACGGAACGTAAACGGTCTCCAAGCTTCCAGAGGGGTGCACAAAAAGCACGATCCCAAAAGCGTTTAGCTGCCTACTGTACAGCCATGGAATCGATTGAGGCTAGCGCCCAGCCAGTTGAATTAGAAAAAGAAGAGTTAGACTTGATCCCGTAAGTGCTTACTATCGTTGATGATTGGATCATCACATTGAATGTACACTCCGTAGAAATTCCTTTTTTCTGTTTTCATGATGTTTGTTGTCGTCTATCTAACAAAATTCATGATTTTGTTTTTTCCAATTTATGTAGTTCCGGTGGCATTCCTGCACGAAGTAGCAGCGGAGATCGGCTTCTTTTATTTGTCGGTATCATCGACATTCTTCAGAGCTATCGGCTATTAAAGAAATTGGAGCATGGCTTCAAAGCCCTCATGATTGACGGAGTAAGTTTTCCTAACTGTTTTTCTTCACCTGCTCCAATTTTTCTTGCTTTTGTTTTACATCCATTCACCGCTCCGCTCTTTCTTTGTTGTTTGTCCCCATAGGAAACAGTCTCGGTAACACCACCTGGCTTTTATTCCCAGCGGTTTCAAGAATTCCTCTCGCGAACAGTGTTTAAACGAATCCAGTCGCGTAAGTTTAGTTCACGACAGTCATAGTTAACTATTTAGGTGTTTCCCCTACGTAGCATTGCATTTTCTCGTAACAGGCAATCGTTTTGATGCATTATCTGTTTTGATTTGCGGTTATTATTTATCAATCGGTTATTCTTTTGTTTGTCAATCAATCTGATATGTGGTGTCATTTGTCGTTCTATTACCGCTTTAATTTTCCTGCTCTTTAATTTCCGACGACAAAGACAGAGGGATTTGTTTTTATGCCAATATTTTTTGAAAACAGTCTATTTATAGCTTCTATAGAATACATTTAAAAACTTCCCTAATGCAGTCGCGTCACGTCGTTCAGTTTCAAAATATTTGTGTCGTTTTGTGCTACTATTATTTGACGAGTAGTGCAAACTGGTATTCACAAATTTATTTTCTGTCCCATCGAATTCATCCGATTTGTTCATCCCCGTCCTAGTCGATCAAACGACTCCATTTGGACCCCATATCAGGCGGTTCAGGCGGTTTGTGGAATTGGGTGCGTATGCCCTAAGCTCCCTTCCTAATTTCCAGTATTCGCTTCTTCTCATTCCCATTGTTTATGCTTCACTCATCGGAACCCCGATTTGCTTTCCTGGTTTGCGGCTTGCGGTCCCCTTCCCCTATCTCCATGTTTCACTCATATTGTCACACGCTTGTTCGCTTGCGTTTTAGTTTTTTTTTTACTTTGTTACCCCACTAATTTCTCCTAATTTCGGTTTTGGGAGGCTGTTCTTGCCGCTTGCTTTCATTCATCTCCCGGTAAAACGTTCGCTCACGTCATTCTTCGTTCGTGAGTCGCCCTTGACACTGAAGTGCGGTGCAGCCTCGGTCCGATCGGATGACGCCCATCTAGGTCCATCCATTTCCTTGTTAACCTGCTTGTTCGTTTGTTTGTTTTGTTAGTTCATTCCTCGTTGTTATTGTGATCGCCGTCCTGCTGTTCTCCGGATACCCCCATTCGCATTCTCATTCCTCTGTGTTTGTTCATTGATTGTTTTCATTTGTGATCGGGAAACGTACAGCCCATCTGTTTTGTTTAACCATGTTTTCCCGTAACCATTACGGTTTCGGTGGTAGGTAGATATTTACTCAGTTCATCAACATGATTTATTTGTTCGGGGTTTCTTTCTCTGTATTCCGGGATAACTAATTGTGTTTGCTTAACATTTGATGTTTGCAGCCTTCCCGTATGCAAATGTGATTGCATTCAAGGATAGCACAGTGTATCACAATTGGTGAAAACTAGACCCGAACAGTTGTTGTTGTTGTTGTTGTTTTTTCTTTCACTGGATTACAGTTCTCTATCTAATGTTATACAGGGCTTCTGTTCACCTAAGTGCGCTTCACCTGTAGCCCTCTCTTCCCTCAAATAATTTATGATCTCATGAAAAGAACAGGCAAAATGCGCTATTCAAGTGGTTTGGTTGATGTATTCAGACATTTATTTTCTGTTACATCGGTACTCCCACTCACCGAGTCCGAAAGTTGGACACAGTTGTATACGATGCGTTAAAGTTGAGTGCAACTTCGCACCGCCGCTTCGAACACGTTTTTCGAAGAAGCGCTTGTTCAGGACCTTCGACACCCGTCAATTCTGTCTCTCTCCCAGGGTTTTGTTGGTAATGAAAACAATAAACTAATATCCGACCTGGCGTGTTGGTCAAATTATGAATCATTCACAATGAAAAAACCTCTTCTGGACAACAAATCCAAGGTTCAATTTCTATTCGCCCTGTCTTCCTCGATCATCTGAATCACCACTCTGCCCCTCGCCTCCCCCATATCCCGGATATTTATGCATTTTTATCGCCAAATGAAACCAAATTTGTCAAGTTTCTTATTATGATTTGCTATCTGTTTTTCTTCTATATCGCAACACTGTCGGTAATAATTGTTGTATTATCTTTATTTATTGATTATCTCGCAAAATTCATGTATTCTCGGTCGTTCGTGCCTTGGTAGATCGTAAGTTCCAAGTTGGCTTGGATTGGTGTGTACTTTTAATAGGGTGTTTTCTTTCTTTAACTATTTCAGTGTTCTTCTAAACACCTCCACCTTAGTTCATTGTTCCTTACCCTTCCATCGTCTAATCCCTTTGGCTCTCGTCCAGAAAGCCTGCAAATTTCCCCGGTGAAACGTTTTTCTTCCTGCCAGTGTTCTCTCCGATTTTATGACTTCGCTTTAATCTCTACAGGATCTGCATAGATTGTTGACTGATCGTCAACGGAAGTGATCATAGATAATAACCCGTAATTTTCACTTTTTCCACTTATCTATAGTTCATTGGGGAATTATGTGTGTGTCCACCTTTGTACTCGACAACTGAAATCTTTACCATCGGTTCTCTACTAGCTCCGGTTCTGGACTAAAGTGATCTTAAATTGGTAAATTCATGAGGTGATCAAACCACATGGTGTTGTGTGCATACCACAGCTACCAAGATTTCTTCATTTGCCCAGTGTTTACATTCCATTATTTATTCCTTGTTTCATGTCAGTAGTGCAATAACATAGTTATTGAGGAATCCCGGTCGTGTGAAATTACGAGCTGTGTGACCAGTTGCTCATTTTATACAACTCTTAATCTTGCACACCGCGATCCCGGTGCTGGTTGCTATCTTCCGACTATACACCCAGTCGACCAATAAAAACGGGATAAAATATGGAAACGGTACCAAAATAAAGCTCTCAAATCTAGGTGAATTGTGTATGTGCATTAAAAACAAGTAGTTATACGTGCCTCATTGTTTACGTCGCTTAGCCTAATCGTATTGATGCTTTAGCGAGTTATATAATACATACTTTTTTCTTACTCCCCCTCCCCCCGAACCGTAGGTCATGCTGGTCACCAAGTCTCCAACTACTAAGCCTAACCGTATAGTTAAAATGTTTTGGTTTGCGGTTTTCAACTCGTGCCAGATTTCGCTTTCCCTGGTTTTCTCTCATTCATTTTCGAACCGAGAAAATGTCCACTCTTGATGAAGCTTTGACGATGACCAACGAAGATAGTTCCATTTACCACAATCTATAGCGACTATTTTAGCACATGTGCGACAACTGTTACCTTTGCATCTTCACGTTTCCTCGGCATTGCTTGTCCACTGTTCCCGCCAGACTGGCGTGATTCATTGTAGCCAGTGGTGTTGAACCGTTATGAGCAGCACAATGAGTATGTGGTCTAGTTTTGCGTACACATGCCAGCATGATAGGAACCGATAACTAGAATGCACTGCAATCTTTTCACTGCCGAGTTCTTCAGTTATTCTAATCAAATCATTATGGAGGCATTTGGATACCATCGTTGAAGATGAGATACGCCTACTTTTCCCTACTTGCTCTTCTCCACGTCATCTGTTGGTTTTCAGAGGATTTTCTCTACCCTTTAGCAGTAACTGTAAACAAATCGCGCTGCGATAGATAACTGGTGATGTACGTAACACTTGTCCTAACCAACGAAGTCTACTCATCTGGATTTGGTCTGATGACAGTTTTTGTTCCACTGAAGTACTCGCTGGCTATATCCTACTCGCTCCAAGCTAGGCGACAATCGATATTCTTAGACTTCCAGTTGGTGGATGTGTTCCGCTCGCAAACGCAGGGTCACACAACCGAACTGATATTTGTTGAATGCAGCCACGATCTGATTTTTTTGCGAGTCCACATGAGGTCACTCAAAGGCGCTTAAACTGCAAACGCCAGAGTTACCTGGTTATCGCTAGAAGAGATGAATAACTCTTCAAACTACTCTTCCCGGCGATTAAACCTGTCCATTTTTATACCTATTTATTTTGCTGAACGGAATCTGCTGATTTCCGGTTTTGTGTATCGCCTGGAACAGCCCTAGACTATCTACGGAGTTAACAGCTTCCATTTCCCTAGTTACTCTGGCCCATTTGTCTCGAACCCTATAAGTGAATCGATGCTGATCCTGGCAGATTGGAATCTTTCACTTTTGTATCATCAGAACTACCGAACCCTGCGAGGTCCAGCATCTTGGACGGATTTCTAACTCTGGTCCACATGTAACGTTGACTGCTAACGGTATTGTACTTCGAATCTAATCCCATTGATCCCTACTCCGCCACATCGCTGAGCTTCTAGTCGCTGCATTATTTTTAAACATGACAGGTGCAGAGTGAGACAATGATGAATCAGCCGAGGTTCACAGTTTTGCGGGCGATCACCCGCTTGTACCGGATTGATATCCATTAATAGAGTGACGCGTGGAAAACGAACCCCCAGGTCCAGGCAAATAGAACACGAGTACGGTAATCTACATGTGTTAGATACGGATAAACAGGCAATATGTACAACATACCTCAAGGTATGAGCTCAGAAACCAGGCAGGGTAAATCGAAATGTCACGGGACACCGAGTCAGGTTGCTCGCTAGGCAACGTCAGGCCCTAGAATAATAAGCACCAAGGGAAATAGAGTATATAAAGCGAACAAACTGACCAATCAGAGCCATTCAGTCACGGGAGTATTGTGTTGGTAATACGAATAGGGATTCGGAAATAGATGTGGGTAAACAAGGGCGAACAGTACTAAGCGATGTCGACTAAACGGCATTCCACAAACAAGCGGAGAAATCGGTACGGTACAATTAGTAATAAATTTGATGCGGAATGAGTGATATTCATTTGTATAAGAAAAGGCGGAAACGGGTCACAAGAGCCGGCATAGAACAGATTTTATCGTACCAATACGTCACAAAATTCAGCATGATATGAAGACCAAATGTGTCCTCAAGGCGGTGGATAGGGGCTGAATACGGCGGGGAAAATGCTTAAATACTGACGGGGGGGAATGGGTTATATCATATCATGTCAAGATGTATACGAATGGCGTCACAAGTACTGACAGCTGAGTAAACAGACATCAATGTATTCATTAAAGCGTCTCAAGTGGGTTGAGGTCAAGGGGTTTTCTAAAGAGTGAATGTGCAATGGTCTGGGGGCGATGATCAAAAGTGATCTAAACAACAGATATACCCGTTACAAGGCGAGGTGAAAGTCTAACGGAGGGAGGGCATTAGTCAAGAACTGAGCTAATATTGAATTTTCCAAGCTGGCTGATCTCTACAGCTAAAGTCATCCATTCGCACTGCATCATCTGAACTTCGGTTCAATCGAATAAGAGAATTCGTGCATCAAATCTGTAGTAGGTCGGCTCATATACTAGGTTACATCTGTCACACTTCTTTTTCTGTGGTTCCCACAACGCGATCCGTCCTCCTCTTCCTTGTGAATCGGCTAGTAAAACGATTGACAAATTGCTCGAAACTTATTCACTTTCACTAACTGTGATCGGGACCTACTAAACCGTTTACTGTCGCATGCCACTCGGTGTGTGTGCCTATTGATTTATTTACTCAAATCTTCGGAGTTACGTTCTACGACTACTATTTGTTAGTATATCTTTTTGTCCGTTTATTAGTGTTACTTGTTAGTTTCTGAACCGATGTAGCTAGAACTGAAGCATTAAATCTCTCACCTGGCCTGTTTTGAACC